GATAAAATGCTTGTATATAAGACGTTATGATCATAGAAGAAATTAAGCAAGAAAAGTTTTAGTGAGGTTGATAGTGCATTTTCAGAAATTTTGTGTGCTTAATTGGTTACCTGAGCTAGTGGTATATCTATAACTCTGAAATTTTAACCAATATTTTAGTTAGTTATTATCTGTGATTGTAGATAAGAAGGTACATGAGATTAATGAAATCTACACTTAGATGTAACATGTTTTTATGTTGCTGGAACCGGATAGTTTATCCTGTTGAATTTACTTTGTGTAATGGAAGATCCAACATTTTGTCAATTGAATGATCAATCATCTCCGTTCAACTTGTAAGTATGAATTCATGCTAATGATGCTTAACGACCAGAGCAGTCAATTTTCTAGAAATTGCAGAATTTTGTTAGTCATATTGATAGTATAAGATAATTATAGCAATTTGATTTAAACAAATTCAATCATGCCCATAAATCTGTGGAAGCTAATTTCAAATCTGTGTATATTAATAATGAAGTACAGTAGGAAATTACTATGGTAGCCTGGTTTGCATAATTCCAACAATAGCTGTGTTATTATAGGCTCATGACACAATTCCTTAATGCATTATTTTTGGAACAAGTTTGGCTCATCTGATTTTCTGTATTATTTAAGGTGTTAGTTTTCTAGGAATTTTTGTTATAACATTAGGTACTATACTGGTTACCCAAAGGATCTTGGACTATCAAAGGTTATTCATTTTACCTCTGAGCGTGATGTCTCATTAGATAGAATCACAAAATCAGACACAGCAGAATTCATCCCTTATCAGTGTTCCCTTTGTATTTTGTTGCCTGTGGTTATTATTATTTTCTTAGATTTTGGCCACATTTTCTGTGCACATTTTCCCTTATCGATCAATGGAAAAAAGTATCAACATTTTTTTGTACAAGCCTTGCTTGACAAAAATGTTCACTTCCATCTGTGAAATGTTGAATCCGATTTCAATTTACTTATGCACTTGCAGTTCAACTACGATGTTAGAGCTTATGGTTTTAGAGAATTCTTCAAGCAACATGGTATGCAGATATCAGATCCAAAGTAAGAATCCGGTGGGAAAGGTTTTATCTTTCACATATTGAAGAGCTATACCTGATCTGATCATACTACCTATTTTATCAATCTGCATATTAGTAATTTTTCAAACTTAACTTTTTATCTAGCATTTGATATTTTGTAAATGCTAAGTGTGGGAATTAACTCATTATTTTCCTCTCTCTGCATCATCTTAAGTTTTATCTTTTTTTAATATATATTTTTTCAAACTTAACTTTTTAGCATCTACTTTAGAGCTAGAGGCTTCTTTGAGTCGTTTCTCCAAACAGGACCTACTGTATCTTAAAATTTACATTTTTTTTTTCTTTTTTTTCTTCTTTCTTTTCGATATGTCATATATTTATATTAAAAAAATATGGCAAGGTTTCTTTATATCAATATTTTCAAAATTGAATCGTTCTGATTGGTTCAAAATTCAATAATTTCATCAATAATCAAACTAATATTATTAAATAATAATAATTATTATTATTATTAATATAAAAAATAAATATAATATTACAATTTTTTAACTCTAAAAATAAAAGTAAAAGGTTATTATTAGATTCTTAACATTTAATATATACATAAAATTCCAAACTGTATATAATATAATATTTAAGTTTAAATTTTAATAAAATATAAATATGTTCATTAATAATAACAAGTTTATATTTAGAATAAAAAAATATTAAATTAATATAATATAAACTATAAAAAAATAAATTTAAAAATTGTAAATTAATATAAATTATTAAATTATATTCACGAGATAAACATTAAAAATAGGCTATTCTAATTTATAATTTTTTTATTAGATGCTAGTTTTATTTTAAAAAATTAAATTAAATTTTAAAAAAATATTAATTGGACCGATTCAAATCGATTTGATCGGATTTTTATTAGTTATAGATCGATTCTACTGATTTTTGATTGGTTCAATGCAAAATAGTTTCCTAGACTAATTGAACTAGTTGATGACCACTTCTCAGTCATACTAGTTTGATCTATTTTCATAATTATGCTTTATACACAGATAATACACAGTGTTCTAAAAATTGGTGAGAAATTGACCTTGCCATTGCAATTGATATGATTTTACCAAATACTTATATTTGACAATATATAGTTATTAAAATTAACATTAGTCGGTAATTTGTGTCCCTTAATCAAATTATTCAAGATCTGAATCGTAACTTTGAATTTCGAATAAACTATATTAAATAAAAATACTCCTAGATATTATTATTATTTTTAATAATAAATACTTTGTATCAATATCATGATTATATAAAAAAATATACAGTTATTAAATATTATTTCTTATACTAACTTTAAAAAGCAGTTTAGAAATAGCCTTTTCTTAGTACCGATTGGAGAAAAGGAAAAAGAAATATCAAGCCATAAAATTACATGGCTATTCT